TGTGAATGTGTGTGTCGGTGTGTGTGCTGTGTGTGTGGCTGTGTGTGTGTGAGGGGTATGTGTGGTGTGTGGTGTGTGTGTGGTGTGTGTGTGTGTATGGTTTGTGTGTGTGTGTGGTGGGTGTGTGTGGTGTGTGTTTCGTGTGGTGTGTGTGTGTTGGACCCGCTTCTTCATGGTCGCTACTAGGGCATCTCCCTGAACCATGAGCTTTATCGTACCTCTGCTTATAGCTATGTTATGGTCTCCTGCCTCCACTTACACGCTTCCCAAACATTTCCACTTCCTGACTACTCTGTGGCTGAAAGAAAATTACTTCCTAACATCCCTTTGATTCATCTGTGTCTTTCAGCTTCCAATCTGTGTCCCCGTGTTGCTGTATCCAGTCTCTGGAACATCCTGTCTTTGTCCTCCTTGTCAATTCCTCTCAATATTTTGTAAGTCGTTTATATGTCCCCCTATCTCTACCTGTCCTCCGTGGCGTCAGATTGATTTCCCTTACCTTCTCATAGGACATACCTCGTAACTCTGGGACAAGTCTGTTGCAAAACCTTTGCACTTTCTCTAGTTTCTTTACATGCTTGGCTAGGCATGGGTTCAAACTGGTGCCGTCATTACTCCAATAGGCGGCCTAAACGTACACGGTGTACAGGGTCCTGAACGATTCCTTATAAGATGTCGGAATTGCTGTCTGAGGTTTTGCCAGGCGCCCATAGCGCGGCAGTTATTTGGTTGATGTGCGCTTCAGGGATGTGCATGGTGTTATACTCACCTCCAAGATCTTTTTCCTTGAGTGATGTTTGTTTAGTCTCTGGCCCCCTAGGACTGTACTCCGTCTGCGGTCTTCTTTGCCCTTTCCCCAATCTCAGTGACTTTGCACATTGGTGGGAATTGAACTCCAGGAGCTGTTGCTGGACAGGTCTGCAGCCTGTCAGTATCCCTTTGTAGTTTCTGGCCTGGTCTTCGATTGAATGAAAACTCTTTCTCATCAAAACTTCAACTTCCATCTGCAAGAACAGGGCTCACCTCGGAGTTTTATTCCTTCCGTCATGTCGTTCACAAATACCAGTAACAGCACTGGTGTCCGAGGACTGACCCCTGTGGGACCCCGATGGTCACAGGTGCCCATCTCTGACCCTCGGCCACGTACCTATTACTCGCTGCTGTCTTCTGAAAGTATTCCCTGATCCATTGCAGTGCCTTCACTGTTATCCCTGGCTTGGTCCTCCAGTTTTTGCACCAATCTCTGGTGTCGGTACTGTGTCAAAACGCCTTTTGCAGTCCAAGAAAAATGCTATTCCACCCACCCTCTCTCTCTTGTCTTTACTGCTGTCACAATGTCTAGAACTCCAGTAGGTTTGTGACACAGGATTTCCGTCTCTGAAACCATGTTGGCTGCTGGTGATGAGATCATTCCTTCCTAGATGTTCAACCATTCTTCTCCTGACAATATTCTTCCATGATCTTGCTGCTTCATACATGTCAGTGACACTGGTCTGTAGTGTAGTGCTTGAAGTTGTCTCCTTTTTTAAATATTGGGACCACATTTGCTGTCTTCCATGCCTCAGGCAATCTTCCTGTTTCGATAGATGTATTGAATATTGTTGTTAGGGGTACACATAGCGCCTCTGCTCCCTCTCTCAGGACCCATGGAGAGATGTTATCTGGCCCCATTGCCTTTGAGGTATCTAGCTCACTCAGAAGCCTCTAACTTCTTCCTCGGTTTGTGTGCACTGTGTCTGCAATGTTGGTGTAGTGCCCCACCTCTCCGTCTTTCTGGAGCCCCTTCTGTCTCCTCTGTGAACACTTCTTTATTAAATAACACTGTCAGCTTTATTAAATAACACTGTCTGCTTTATTAAACAACACTGTCTGCTTTATTAAATAACACTGTCTGCTTTATTAAATAACACTGTCTGCTTTATTAAATAACACTGTCTGCTTAATTAAACTGCACAGTCTGGCTTTATTAAATAAACTGTCTGCTTTATTAAAAACAACACTGTGCTTTATTAAATAAACCTGTCTGCTTTATTAAACAACCCACTGTCTGCTTTATTAAATACATTGTCTTACTTTATTAAATATACCTGTCTGCGTTATTAAACAACACTGTCTGCTTTATTAAACAACACTGTCTGCTTTATTAAATAACACTGTCTGCTTTATTAAATAACACTGCTTTATTAAACAACACTGTCTGCTTTATTAAATAACACTGTCTGCTTTATTAAATAACACTCTGCTTTATTAAATAACCAATGAAGCTTATTAAACACCCTGTCTGCTTTTTTAAATAACACTGCTTTATTAAACAACACTGTATGCTTTATTAAACAACACTGTCTGCTTTATTAAATAACACTGCTTTCTTAAACAACACTGTCTGCTTTATTAAACAACGCTGTTTGCTTTATTAAACAGCACTGTCTGCTTTATTAAATAACCCTGCCTGCTTATTAAATAACACTGTCTGCTTTATTAAATAACACTGTCTGCTTTATTAAATAACACTGTCTGCTTTATTAAACAACACTGTCTGCTTTATTAAATAACACTGTCTGCTTTATTAAACAACACTGTCTGCTTTATTAAATAACACTGTCTACTTTATTAAATAACACTGTCTGCTTTATTAAACAACACTGTCTGCTTTATTAAACAACACTGTCTGCTTTATTAAACAACACTGTCTGCTTTATTAAACAACACTGTCTGCTTTATTAAACAGCACTGTCTGCTTTATTAAATAACTCTGTCTGCTTTATTAAATAACACTGTCTGCTTTATTAAATAACACTGCTTTATTAAACAACACTGTCTGCTTTATTAAATAACTCTGTCTGCTTATTAAATAACACTGCTTTATTAAATAAAACACTGTACTGCATTTTTTAAATTACACTGTCTGTTTATTAAATAGCATTGTCTGATTTATTAAACAACCACTGTCTGCCTTTATTAAATAAACTCTCTTGCCATGCTTATCTATATACACTGTCTGCTTTATTAAATAAACACGGTCTGCTTTATTAAATAACACTGTATGCTTTATTAAAAGCACTGTCTGCTTTGTTTAATAACTCTGCGGCTATTAAAATAACACTGTTGCTTTATTAAATAACTCTGCCTGCTTATTAAATAACACTGTCTGCTTTATTAAACAACACTGTCTGCTTTATTAAATAACTCTGCCTGCTTATTAAATAACACTGTTTGCTTTATTAAACAACACTGTCTGCTTTATTAAATAACACTGTCTGCTTTATTAAACAACACTGTCTGCTTTATTAAATAACTCTGTCTGATTATTAAAATAACACTGTCTGCTTTATTAAACAAACACTGTTCTGCTTATTAAACAACACTGTCTGCCTTTATTAAATAACCACTGGCTTTATTAAACAAACCTGATGCTTGATTAATACACTGCTTTATTAAACCTACACTGTCTGGCCTTTTTAAATAACACTGCTTTATTAAACAACATGTCTGCTTTATTAAAGTAATCTGCCTGCTGTATTAATTAAACTGTCTACTTATTAAATAACACTTGTCTGCTTTTATTAAACAACATGTCTGCTTTATTAAATAACACCTGCCTTTATAAAACAAAACTGTTGCTTTATTAATTAACACTGTCTGCTTTATTAAAAACAACACTGTGCTTTATTAAATAACACTGTCTGCTTTATTAAATAACACTGTCTGCTTTATTAAATAACACTGTCTGCTTTATTAAATAACACTGCTTTATTAAACAACACTGTCTGCCTTAATTTTTTATGAAATAACACCTGTCTGTTTTATTAAAACAACACTGTGCTTTTTATAAAATAACACTAGTCTGCTTTATTAAATAAACACTGTCTGATTATTACATAACACTGTCTGACTTTATTGAACAAACACTGTCTGCTTTATTAAACAAACACTTGCTGCTTTATTAATGAGACTATCCAACTGTCTGACTTTATTAACAGCACTGTCTGCTTTATTAATAACTTCTGCCTGCTTTATTAAATTAACACAGTCTGCTTTATTAAATTCACAATGTCTGCCTTTATTAATTAAACACTGCTTTATTAAACAACATGTCTGCCTTTATTAATACTCGGCCTGCTTTATTTATTAACACTGTCTACTTTATTAAATAAACACTGTCTGCTTTATTAAATAACATGTTCTACTTTATTATTAAACACTGTCTGCTTTATTAAATACACTGTCTGCTTTATTAAATAACAATGTCTGCCTTTATTAAACAAACACGTCTGCTTGGGAAATATAAACACACATGCGTTTAATGTGATCCTTTATTGACAACGTTTCACCCACACAGTGGGCTTTTTCAGTACACAACGTTTCACCCACTGTTGTGGCTGTGATGAAACGTTGTCTTAAAGGATCACTTATACGGCATTTGTGTTTTATTTCCATTGTGTCGGTATTTTAATACCATTTATTTTCCATCGTACTGCTTTATTAAACAACAACATGTGTCTGCTTTATTAAATAACACTGTCTTGCTTTATTAAATATACACCGGTCTTAATTATTAATACACTGTCTGCTTTATTAAACAACACTGTCTGCTTTATTACATAAATATGTCTACTTTATAATAACATGTCTGCTTTATTAAACAACACTGTCTGCTTTATTAAACAACACTGTCTGCTTTATTAAATAACACTGTCTGCTTTATTAAACAACACTGTCTGCTTTATTAAATAACACTGTCTGCTTTATTAAATAACACTGTCTGCTTTATTAAATAACACTGTGTGCTTGATTACGTAACGCTACCTGCTTTATTAACTAACACTTATTGCTTGTTAAATAGCACTACCTGCTTTATTAAAGCAGATAGTGTTATTTAATGTGTTATATAAAGCTTTAATCTGATTTTCAAGGTTCTATCTGATTTTAAAAGCTTTATTCTGATTTTAAAAGTAGGGTTATGATCACTTGAAGATTGAAGAAAGCGTACGTGTTCGCAGGAGATCGTGCTGGCCATCACAGCAGAGTACACGGACTGGGCACGTCCGGTGCAGCATCCAGTACACATCCGGGACCTGACGGCGGAGGCCCTACACGATGCTTCGTTCGTCTCCCCCGTCACCGTAGCAGCTAATAACCTCTACACCCCGGCCAGAACTGCTTTTCTCTACGTCTTGGACTATCGTCCGGACGAACCTAACCCCGAGGTACAGTAATTCAGCATTTTTTCCCCTGACCTCAATAGAAATATGTCACTTTGTATTGTAATTTATGTAACTGTAATTATGTGTACCCGTACCTAAATCCTGCCGGGTCACCATCTGGAAAAGACCCGGCCGGGCAATACTGGCTGACCTACTACTACTTACTGCTACGTACCTTAATAAACTTACTTAACCATGGTAATGAGTCGTATTATAAGGGGTGTATTATGCTGGAGAGTTCTTGAGAAGAGTGAATGTCTCAGTAACTCTCAGTACTGGGAAGAGTGAATGTTTCAGTAACTCAGTACTGGAAAGAGTGAATGTTTCAGTAACTCTCAGTACTGGGAAGAGTGAATGTTTCAGTAACTCAGTACTGGAAAGAGTGAATGTTTCAGTAACTCTCAGTACTGGGAAGAGTGAATGTTTCAGTAACTCAGTACTGGAAAGAGTGAATGTTTCAGTAACTCTCAGTACTGGGAAGAGTGAATGCTTTAGTAACTCAGTACTGGGAAGAGTGAATGTTTCAGTAACTCTCAGTACTGGGAAGGTGAATGCTTAGTAACTCAGTATGGAAGGAGTGGAATGTTCAGTAAACTCTCCGTACTGGGAAGAGTGAATGTTTCAGTAACTCAGTACTGGCAAGAGTGAATGTTTCAGTAACTCTCAGTACTGGCAAGAGTGAATGTTTCAGTAACTCTCAGTACTGGGAAGATTGATTGTTTTTAGTAACTTCAGGACTGGGAAGAGTGAATGTTTTAGTAACTCTCAGTACTGGAAGACGTGATGTTTTAGTAACTCTCATTACTGGGAAGAGTGGAATGTTTCAGTAAACTTCAGAACTTGGAAGAGTGAATGTTTTTAGTAACTCTCAGTACTGGGAAGAGTGAATGTTTCAGTAACTCTCAGTACTGGGAAGAGTGAATGTTTCAGTAACTCAGTACTGGGAAGAGTGAATGTTTCAGTAACTCAGTACTGGGAAGAGTGAATGTTTCAGTAACTCTCCAGTACTGGGAAGAGTGAATGTTTCAGTAACTCTCCGTATGGGAAGAGTGAATGTTTTTCAGTAACTCACAGTACGGGAAGAGTGAATGTTTCAGAAAACTCTCAGTACTGGGAAGAGTGAAGTTTTAGTACCCTCAGTACTGGGAAGAGTGAATGTTTTAGTAACTCTCAGTACTGGGAAGAGTGAATGTTTCAGTAACTCTCAGTACTGGGAAGAGTGAATGTTTCAGTAACTCTCAGTACTGGGAAGAGTGAATGTTTTAGTAACTCTCAGTACTGGGAAGAGTGAATGTTTTAGTAACTCTCAGTACTGGGAAGAGTGAATGTTTTAGTAACTCTCAGTACTGGGAAGAGTGAATGTTTCAGTAACTCTCAGTACTGGCAAGAGTGAATGTTTCAGTAACTCTCAGTACTGGCAAGAGTGAATGTTTCAGTAACTCTCAGTACTGGGAAGAGTGAATGTTTCAGTAACTCTCAGTACTGGGAAGAGTGAATGTTTCAGTAACTCTCAGTACTGGGAAGAGTGAATGTTTCAGTAACTCTCAGTACTGGCAAGAGTGAATGTTTCAGTAACTCTCAGAAACTGGCAAGAGTGAATGTTTCCAGTAACCCCTCAGTACTGAAAGAGGGGAATGTTTCAGTGACTCAGTACGGAAAGAGTGAATGTTTCAGTAACTCTCAGAAATGGAAAAGGTGAATGTTTCAGTAACTCTCAGTACTGCAAGAGTGAATGTTTCAGTAACTCCAGTACTGGGAAAAAGTGAATGTTCAGTAACTCTCAGTACTGGCAAGAGTGAATGTTTCAGTAACTCTCATTACGGAAGAGTGAATGTTTCAGTAACTCTCGTACTGGAAGAGTGAAGTTTCAGTAAATCTCAGAAACTGGGAAGAGTGAATGTTTCATTAACTCTCAGTACTGGCAAGAGTGAATGTTTCAGTAACTCTCATTACGGGCCAAGAGTGAATGTTTCAGTAACTCCAGTACTGGGAAGAGTGAATGTTTCAGTAAACTCATACTGGAAGAGTGAATGTTTCAGTAACTCTCAGTACTGGGAAGAGTGAATGTTTTAGTAACTCTCATAATGGGAAAGTGAATGTTTTAGTAACTCTCAGTACGGGGTAGAGTTGAAGTTTTAGTAACTCTCAGAACTGGAAAGAGTGAATGTTTTAGTAACTCTCAGTACGGGAAGAGTGAATGTTTTAGTAACTCTCAGTACGGGGAAAAGATGAATTTTCAGTAACTCTCATACTGGGAAGAGTGAATGTTTTAGTAACTCAGTACGGGGAAGAGTGAATTTTCAGTAACTCTCATTACGGGGAAGATGAATGTTTCAGAAACCCTCAGTACTGGCAAGATGAATGTTTCAGTAACTCTCAGTACTGGCAAGAGTGAATTTTTTCCAGAAACTCTCAGAAACTGGAAAGAGTGAATGTTTCAGTAACTCTCAGTAACTGGGAAAGTGAATGTTTCAGTAAACTCATTACTGGGAAAGTGAATGTTTTAGTAACTCTCAGTACTGGCAAGAGTGAATGTTTCAGTAACCCCTCAGTACTGGAAAAAGAGGGGAATGTTTCAGAAACTCTCATACTGGGAAGAGTGAATGTTTCAGTAACTCTCATACGGAAGAGTGAATTTTTTTAGTAACTCTAAAGTACTGGCAAGAGTGAATGTTTCAGTAACTCTCAGTACTGGCAAGAGTGAATGTTTCAGTAACTCTCAGTACTGGCAAGAGTGAATGTTTCAGTAACTCTCAGTACTGGAAAGAGTGAATGTTTCAGTAACTCTCAGTACTGGGAAGAGTGAATGTTTCAGTAACTCTCAGTACTGGGAAGAGTGAATGTTTCAGTAACTCAGTACTGGAAAGAGTGAATGTTTCAGTAACTCTCAGTACTGGGAAGAGTGAATGTTTTAGTAACTCAGTACTGGGAAGAGTGAATGTTTCAGTAACTCTCAGTACTGGGAAGAGTGAATGTTTCAGTAACTCTCAGTACTGGCAAGAGTGAATGTTTCAGTAACTCTCAGTACTGGGAAGAGTGAATGTTTCAGTAACTCAGTACTGGTAAGATTTGAATTTTTTTCGTAACTCTCATACGGGGAAGAGTGAATTTTTCGTAACTCTCGTACGGGGAAGAGAGAATGTTTTAGAAAACTCTCAGTACTGGGAAGAGTGAATGTTTCAGTAACTCTCAGTACTGGGAAGAGTGAATGTTTCAGTAACTCAGTACTGGGAAGAGTGAATGTTTCAGTAACTCTCAGTACTGGGAAGAGTGAATGTTTAGTACTCTCAGTACTGGGAAGAGTGAATGTTTCAGTAACTCTCAGTACTGGGAAGAGTGAATGTTTCAGTAACTCTCAGTACTGGCAAGAGTGAATTTTTTTCAGTAACTCAGTACTGGGAAGAGTGAATGTTTCATTAACTCCGTACTGGAAAGATAAATGTTTTCAGTAACTCTCAGTACGGGGAAGAGGGGAATGTTTCAGTAACTCAGTACGGGAAGAGTGAATGTTTCAGTAACTCTCAGTACTGGAAGAGTGAATGTTTCAGAAAACTCAGTACTGGATGAGTGAATGTTTCAGTAACTCAGTACTGGGAAAGTGAATGTTTTCAGTAACTCTCAGACTGGCAAAGTGAATGTTTCAGTAACCCCAGTACTGGATGAGTGAATGTTCAGTAACTCAGTACGGGAAGAGTGAATGTTTCAGTAACTCTCAGTACTGGAAAGGGAGGAATGTTTCGTAACTCACAGTACTGGGAAGAGTGAATGTTTCAGAAAACTCTCAGTACTGGGAAGAGTGAATGTTTCAGTAACTCTCATACTGGGAAGAGTGAAGTTTTAGTAACTCTCAGTACTGGGAAAGTGAATGTTTCAGTAACTCTCAGTACGGGGAAGAGTGAATTTTTCAGTAACTCTCATTACTGGAAGAGTGAATGTTTCAGTAACCTCAGTACGGGGAAAGTGAATGTTTCATAACTCTCAGTACTGGAAGAGAAAAGTTTTAGTAACTCTCAGTACTGGAAAGTGAAATGTTTTCAGAACTCTCAGTACTGGGAAGAGTGAATGTTTCAGTAACTCTCAGTACTGGGAAGAGTGAATGTTTCAGTAACTCTCAGTACTGGGAAGAGTGAATGTTTCAGTAACTCTCAGTACTGGGAAGATGAAGTTTCAGTAACTCCAGTACTGGGAAAGTGAATGTTTTCCAGTAACTCTCATTACTGGGAAGAGTGAATGTTTCAGTAACTCTCAGTACTGGGAAGAGTGAATTTTTTCAGAAAACTCTCAGTACTGGGAAGAGTGAATGTTTAAAAGTAACTCTCAAAACGGGAAAAGAGTGAATGTTCAGTAACTCTCAGTACTGGGAAGAGTGAATGTTTCAGTAACTCTCAGTACTGGCAAGAGTGAATGTTTCAGTAACTCTCAGCCCTGAAAGGTCCCATGGGGACTGAAAATTTTGAAACTCTTTTAAATAGCTCTTATGAGAAATATATTGTTCCAGGTTCCTCAATACGTGGGAGATGTGTCTCGAAGTCCACTAGTTGAGGCACTAAAAATCTTCTTTTTCTTCTTCTTCTTCTTCTTCTTCTTCTTCTTCTTATTATTATTATTATTATTATTATTATTATTATTATTATTATTATTATTATTATTATTAATATTATAAATATTATTATTGCTGTTTTTACTGGCAGTAAAGATACCCAACTGTTAAATATGTGTTTTATACATGTTCTTGTAACTCTCAGCCCTGACAAGAATATTTCCATAATTCTCAGCTCTAAGAAGAGTGAATCATTCTTTAACTCTCATTCCTGAGAGAGAAATGAGAATCTTTCACCAAGGTGATAATGTTGTCTCATTTGAGCATCAATGTGGAACATGTGTAGTCAACAGTCATCATGACGTTCAGTTTACGTTTATTTGGGTAAATTAACTCACATGCGACGTTTTGAATTTTTATTACTGGCAATTTTCTGCGGCAAAACGTTTGCCTTAAATAAAAACCCGAACGTTCAGATGTTTCGTATAATATTATGTTGGTAATAGGGGCATCAGGTGTATAGGTTAAATATGAATGGGTAACTTTTCATCCTGATGAGTGAGACACGTGATGAAGTGGACAATGTGATGAATGATGAACATGCTGATGAAAGACATATTTGATGAATTATAGGCAATGATAAATGAGTAACATTTGAATGAGACATATGTTGAGAATGAGACACATCTGAGAAATAGAATTGTTGATGAATAAGGCAACATGATAAATGCAGACACATCATGAGTATGAACATATGTTGTTTGAATGAACCACATGCTGATGAAATAGACAATGTTTTGAAAAGTGCACTAATAAATGAGACACATGATGAATGTGACATATGTTGATGATGAGACACATCTGATGAAATAGACATATGTTGATAGAATAAGGCACATGATAAATGAGACACATGATGAATGAGACATATGTTGATGAATGAGACACATGCTGATGAAATAGACATATGTTGATGAATAAGGCACATGATAAATGAGACACATGATGAATGAGACATATGTTGATGAATGAGACACATGCTGATGAAATAGACATATGTTGATGAATAAGGCACATGATAAATGAGACACATGATGAATGTGACATATGTTGATGAATGAGACACATGCTGATGAAATAGACATATGTTGATGAATAATGCACATGATAAATGAGACACATGATGAATGAGACACATGTTGATGAATGAGACACATGTCGGTGAATGAGACACATGTTAATGAATGAGACACATGATGAATGAGACACATGTTGATGAATGAGACACATGTTGATGAATGAGACACATGTTGATGAATGAGACACATGTTGATGAATGAGACACATGTTGATGGATAAGACATATGTTGATTAATGAGACACATGTCGGTGAATGAGACACATGTTAATGAATGAGACACATGTTGACGAATGAGACACATGTTGATGAATGAGACACATGTCGGTGAATGAGACACATGTTAATGAATGAGACACATGTTGATTATGAATGATGAGACACATGTTATGAATGAGACACATGTTGATGAATGAAAGACATATGTTGATTAATGAGACACATGTTGGTGAATGAGACACATGTTAATGAATGAGAAACATATTGATGAATGAGACACATGTTGATGAATGAGACACATGTTGATGAATGAGACACGCGTTGATGAATGAGACACATGTTCACCATTCTGACTTCTTTATTACGATTAAAGATATCGATGTACCGTTCATGTGTCTCATTCATACACATGTTAGACTTGCCTGTATCACCCACCTCGCCCAGGGTTCGACCTGGAGCTTTTCGGTTATAAGCTGAACGTTTAACCCCCTGCTCTGTGAGGTACGTATCGTTTATTGATCTTATTCGTCAATAAAGGATCACAATGGACTTATATTCGTCTCTCTTGACCATCCTTACGGTGTTTAATACTTTTCTTCTTGATTCTCCTTGGCCAGACGGGGCCAGACGTGTTTTTAAACGAGCTGCTGTATGTGTTTGGTTCACCGCTGGGGTCAGTGGCACCCTTGGCACCGGCCCTCAACTTCACCAAGACGGACGTGGCACTAAGCGAGGCTATTATCAACATGTGGACAAACTTTATCAAAACCGGGTAAGTCAGACCTAAACTAGTGGTGTCCTTAAATTTTCGACATAAGACTTAAGAAAATATATTTCAGACTTCAGTGCAGACTCAGCCATTGGCAGAATTTCCGTGAAAGTCCCAATACTGAGGTACTTAAAAATTTACAGAAAAATAGTTTTAATTTGGTGAGACTTGAGACAGGCTGGTCAACCCTAGCTGGGTCTTACACCCCATTTAATTTAAAAAAAAAATTCACAACCTTGCGGTCTCAGTTATTTACGAACAAAAAAAAAAAGAAAAAAAAAAAAGTTATTTACGTCCCATGGAATTTTTTACTTATAAGTATTTTATTAAGACACAATATGGAGTTTGTGGCATTTTATTGAGACGTTTCCTTCACCAGTGACTTTATCCATTGATGAAGTCCCTCGTGGGCGAAACGTCTTCTCGACAGAGTTCCATTTACAACATATTGAGTTTTATCAATGGCGTGTTTGCATTGTAATTAAGCTGAGTCTCATTGTATCCACAGGAACCCCAACGAAGGAGGGGTAGGAGGAGAGACAGTAAGTGGAGGGAAGGAGTCCCAGAGATACAGAAGTCAGGAGTGGGCTGGCTACGACCCTGTCTACCGTAGATACCTCGACCTGGGTGAGTAGTACCATTGCCTCTGAGTAAACTGTTATAATCTGTTATAATCACTTTTAAAGGGGTGGACCAGTAAGCCAGGGGGAGACCTCAGTCAGATGACCAAAAGCTCCAGCTGCGAGTCATTACATGACTAAGACCCGCGTCAGGAAATACTTGTTCTGTTTCCAGATACATCTAATCTAACGTAACGTAACGTAATCTAGTCTAACCTAACCTAACGTAATCTAACGTAATCTAACCTAGCCTAACTTAACGTCACGTAACGTAACGTAACCCAACTTGCCTCCTGTAGGCACACCACAACGTGAAAACATCAGTGAAGGAACAACATCACTCTAGGGAACACAATACAGTTAACATCACTCTAGGGAACACAATACAGTTAACATCACTCTAGGGAACACAATACAGTTAACATCACTCTAGGGAACACAATACAGTTAACATCACTCTAGGGAACACAATACAACAACAGTAACATCACTTGAAGACAGCTGTTGTTGTTCCCTCTTGTTTACTGCCACTTGTTATCAAGGTTGAATTTGTTTCCTCAAAATTAGTCAAATCCCGGAAAGGTGAAAAACTACCTTTCAAATAAATTGAGAATAAATAGAATACTTGATGACAAATTGATGAATAAGACACATGTGCAAAACTTGTGTATTTTAATGATGAAACGTTTCGCCTGCATAGCAGGCTTCTGCAGTCAAATAAAGCTGAATATAGACGTGATCTGTGTTAAATTCGCCTATATTCGACTGATGAATCCTGTTCTCTGGGCGAAACGTGCTACATTCATCACATGACAAAATGTGGCGTCCAGGCGAAATATCTTTTCTTAATAAAGTGACCATATAGCTAAATAATTATTAATATATTCTTTATTTAATAATGAAACAGCAGTTTCTCAACATAAATTAATAATAAGATGGTCAGAGCAATTAGCTCACAACCTAAATGCCCAGAGCTCGATTCCCGGGACACTGTGAGGCTACAATGTTAAACTACATTACACAAATAACCTGTACATAGGAGAGAGGAGCTTGCGACGACGTTTCGGACCCAGTTGGACCATTTACAAAGTATTGTTTTGTGCCTTTGTGTTCTCTGTAGCTGCCTCTGTTTACCTAGCAGGAAATAGGTACCAATGTTATCAATCCTGGCGAGTGTGTCAGCATCCTGGTGTGGTGCACTAAGGTCAGACCTTGATATCAGGTCTGCCTCTTTAGAGCCCATCAGAGAGGAAGAGGAGGTGCCTTGAGGCTGGTGAGGAACTCTTGATTCTAGGAACTGGAGTTACCTTCCTTCTTCTCGGATCAAACCTGATTACGTGTCACTCCATGGTGCTGTATTACTCTTAATGATTTAGCGCTTTCCTTTAATAAAATATTAAAATAATAATAATAATAATAATAATAATAATAATAATAATAATAATAATAATAATAATAATAATAATAATGATAATAATAATAATTTATATTATAATAATAATATTATTATTATTGCTATTATTATTATTATTATTATTATTATTATTATTATAATTGTTTAAAATTATATCATTCATGCTGCTCTTGTTGTCCTTGGTCGTACAGGAGGTCGTGGACGTGTTCGTGATCACTACCGTGCTGGTCGTGTGGCACTTTGGTCGTGGCTAGTGCCAGGCCTGGAGAAAGTCGGTTCTCTCTATGGACCCGACTCTCTCTTCCACAGACTGCCCGACCACGAGAAACCCGACTCGTACTCCGGACCTACCAGGCCAAGCAACCTTTCAACCAACTTCTTGCCGCCTTCAACCACACCGACACCCAGTAATCCTCCCACGGTGGCTGCAACCACGCACAACACACAACCACCCACTCTGCTGGTGCTGACGAATTCCAGCAACGTGGCTGGTCTTATGGAAGATGTTTCAAGAGGAAGACAACAGCAGCAACAGGGGCAGTTTCCTTACACCACAGCTCTCAGCCTCACCGTAGCTATCGGATGCTCCTTACTCATTCTCAACCTACTGGTGTTTGCTGCTGTGTATTATCGCAGAGATACCGCGCGCCTCACTAAGCAAGGAGGCCCTACTAACCACGAAAGTAGCGTTAACGAAACCGGGAACAGCATTCAGCTTCGTAGCACTGGCGATATCACCGCCGGTAAGCTATCCTCGCCTTCGAACTGCGGAACGATGCGCTCTTCGGCGACACTTCGCAGCAGTCTGGCCACCTCCTGCGACGGGGAACCACAGCACGAATGGCCACCCGACTACAGCAGCTGCTGTCAGAGTGGCCAGGGTGGTGTCCTGAACCCCGGAGGCGAGGTTACTAGCGTGTGTCCACCCCACAATGGAACAGCTCGTTCAGTCTCTCGACCTCCCCCACCACCCAGGTCTTCCTCCTACCCGTCCCATGTCGAAGCTCAACCTCTTCTCTCTCCAACTGCCCTGCTGAAGGTTAGCAACGCCGCCTGCTCAGAGATGCGAGCCTAAGCTATTACGAAGCCTAGACTGACATTCTCGGCAGTTAGCTTCCTCAACTCTAGGAAATACACTGGTTCAGTAGCCCCTTAGCCTGTGTTAGATGGCAAGTGCGGCAGGCAACTACAGTAGAAAGAAATTTGGTGCTGACCAAACTTTTAATGTAGATCTCAATGAAGTCATGACTTGAGGAGAGTGTAGAGTGTAGTGTGAATGTAGAGCTTCATCAAGTCATGATAAAACTCTGTATAAAGCGAAACATGGTCTATAACAGAGGTCTGTTCTGCATCATAGTTCTCTTCACAAACCTCTGAGCCTACCTAAGTGAACGAGTAATGATAAATCGACGTTTTTAATATTAATCTGTACAGTGTAGGTATAACTTTAAAAACGCATTTTGAAACCCATTATCCATATTTATTATTAGAATTTGAGTTTGTATAGTTCACCAGTGGAAACCATTTTCATGCACTCTCCGATACACTTTGAAAGGGCAGATTTATAGTGAGATCGCAAGAACATTAGTAGTGTTCAACCCACCGTCACAGTGACAGAGAAATGTTCAGCAGATATATACTGCGGCGAAATGTATAGACAGTGAATAACATGGTAATGGAATGTAGAAGACGGATGATGTGATGAAATACTCCAGGATATATGTACGGTGAGAGGTATCGTGCAGTGTATATATACACAGAGAGGTCTATTTCTCTCTTTGGAACACGCAATTGTAAGTGATCATTACTGGCAGAAGATTTTTTCACTCAATGCTTCCTCTCTGTGTTGTTTACAAGTGTATCTTATTTTATGTAGGTTGTTTTGAGAAAAAAAACTTATAAATAATTAGTAGGTGACACAGTAGGTTTGAAGTTTCTTAAGTAGTGTAAATTTTCCTTGCTTGAGAAGGCAGTGACAACGGCCTTTGTAGAGGAAGACAGTGACAACAACCCTTGTAGGGGAAGACAGTGACGACAGTCCTTTTACGGGAAGACAGTGACAACAACCCTTGTAGGGGAAGACAGTGACGACAGTCCTTTTACGGGAAGACAGTGACAACAACCCTTGTAGGGGAAGACAGTGACGACAGTCCTTGCAGAGGAAGGCAGTAACGACAGCCCTTGTAAAGGAAGACAGTGACAACAGCCCTTGTACGGGAAGACAGTGACAGCAGTCTTTATAGGGGAAGACAGTGACGACAGCCCTTTGTGCAGGAAGACAGTGACAGCAGCCCTTGTAGGGGAAGACAACGACAGCAGTCCTTGTAGGGGAAGACAGTGACGACAACCCTTGTTCAGGAAGACAATGACAGCAGCCCTAGTTGGGGAAAACAGTGACGACAAGCCTTGCACAGGAAGACAGTGACAACAGCCCTTGTAGGGGAAGACAGTGACGACAAGCCTTGCACAGGAAGATAGTGACAACAGCCTTGTAGGGGAAGACAATGACAACAGCCCTTGTAGTGGAAGACAGTGACAACAGCCCTTGTAGGGGAAGACAGTGACAACAGCCCTTGTAGGGGAAGACAGTGACAACAGCCCTTGTAGGGGAAGACAGTGACAACAGCCCTTGTAGGGGAAGACAATGACAACAGCCCTTGTAGGGGAAGACAGTGACAACAGCCCTTGTAGGGGAAGACAGTGACAACAGCCCTTGTAGGGGAAGACAATGACAACAGCCCTTGTAGGGGAAGACAGTGACAACAGCCCTTGTAGTGGAAGACAGTGACAACAGCCCTTGTCGGGGAGACAGTGACAGCAGCCCTTGTAGGGGAAGACAGTGACAGCAGCCCTTGTAGGGGAAGACAGTGACAACAGCCCTTGTAGGGGAAGACAGTGACAACAGTCCTTAAAGTGGAAGACAGTGAAAACAGCCCTTGTAGGGGAAGACAGTGACAACAGCCCTTGTAGGGGAAGACAGTGACAACAGTCCTTAAAGTGGAAGACAGTGACAACAGCCCTTGTAGTGGAAGACAGTGACAACAGCCCTTGTAGTGGAAGACAGTGACAACAGCCCTTGTAGTGGAAGACAGTGACAACAGCCCTTGTAGTGGAAGACAGTGACAACAGCCCTTGTAGTGGAAGACAGTGACAAAAGCCCTTGTAGTGGAAGACAGTGACAACAGCCCTTGTAGTGGAAGACAGTGACAACAGCCCTTGTAGTGGAAGACAGTGACAACAGCCCTTGTAGTGGAAGACAGTGACAACAGCCCTTGTAGTGGAAGACAGTGACAACAGCCCTTGTAGTGGAAGACAGTGACAACAGCCCTTGTAGTGGAAGACAGTGACAACAGCCCTTGTAGGGTGAGACAGTGACAACAGCCCTTGTAGGGGAAGACAGTGACAACAGCCCTTGTAGTGGAAGACAGTGACAACAGCCCTTGTAGGGTAGACAGTGACAACAGCCCTTGTAGGGAAGACAGTGACAACAGCCCTTGTAGTGGAAGACAGTGACAACAGCCCTTGTAGGGGAAGACAGTGACAACAGCCCTTGTAGTGGAAGACAGTGACAACAGCCCTTGTAGTGGAAGACAGTGACAACAGCCCTTGTAGTGGAAGACAGTGACAACAGCCCTTGTAGGGGAAAACAGTGACAACAGCCCTTGTAGTGGAAGACAGTGACAACAGCCTTGTAGTGGAAGACAGTGACAACAGCCCTTGTAGTGGAAGACAGTGACAACAGCCCTTGTAGTGGAAGACAGTGACACACAGCCCTTGTAGGGGAAACAGTGACAACAGCCCTTGTAGTGGAAGACAGTGACAACAGCCCTTGTAGTGGAAGACAGTGACACAGCCCTTGTAGTGGGAAGACAGTGACAACAGCCCTTGTAGGGGAAAACAGTGACAACAGCCCTTGTAGTGGAAGACAGTGACAACAGCCCTTGTAGTGGAAGACAGTGACAACAGCCCTTGTAGTGGAAGACAGTGACAACAGCCCTTGTAGGGGAAAACAGTGACAACAGCCCTTGTAGGGGAAAACAGTGACAACAGCCCTTGTAGTGGAAGACAGTGACAACAGCCCTTGTAGTGGAAGACAGTGACAACAGCCCTTGTAGTGGAAGACAGTGACAACAGCCCTTGTAGTGGAAGACAGTGACAACAGCCCTTGTAGTGGAAGACAGTGACAACAGCCCTTGTAGTGGAAGACAGTGACAACAGCCCTTGTAGTGGAAGACAGTGACAACAGCCCTTGTAGTGGAAGCAGTGACAACAGCCCTTGTAGTGGAAGACAGTGACAACAGCCCTTGTAGTGGAAGACAGTGACAACAGCCCTTGTAGTGGAAGACAGTGACAACAGCCCTTGTAGTGGAAGACAGTGACAACAGCCCTTGTAGTGGAAGACAGTGACAACAGCCCTTGTAGTGGAAGACAGTGACAACAGCCCTTGTAGTGGAAGACAGTGACAACAGCCCTTGTAGTGGAAGACAGTGACAACAGCCCTTGTAGGGGAAAGACAGTGACAACAGCCCTTGTAGTGGAAGACAGTGACAACAGCCCTTGTAGGTGGAAGACAGTGACAACAGCCCTTGTAGTGGAAGACAGTGACAACAGCCCTTGTAGTGGAAGACAGTGACAACAGCCCTTGTAGTGGAAGACAGTGACAACAGCCCTTGTAGTGGAAGACAGTGACAACAGCCCTTGTAGTGGAAGACAGTGACAACAGCCCTTGTAGTGGAGACAGTGACAACAGCCCTTGTAGTGGAAGACAGTGACAACAGCCCTTGTAGTGGAAGACAGTGACAACAGCCCTTGTAGTGGAAGACAGTGACAACAGCCCTTGTAGGGGAAGACAGTGACAACAGCCCTTGTAGTGGAAGACAGTGACAACAGCCCTTGTAGTGGAAGACAGTGACAACAGCCCTTGTAGTGGAAGACAGTGACAACAGCCCTTGTAGTGGAAGACAGTGACAACAGCCCTTGTAGTGGAAGACAGTGACAACAGCCCTTGTAGTGGAAGACAGTGACAACAGCCTTGTAGTGGAAGACAGTGACAACAGCCCTTGTAGTGGAAGACAGTGACAACAGCCCTTGTAGTGGAAGACAGTGACAACAGCCCTTCTTGGGAAAGATTAATTGATCAGTGTTCGTCAAGGAAGACAATAACATCAATCTTTCATGAAGAAAACGATGATAACGACGGTTCTTCGGGGAGACAAAAACAACAGTCACACCTGGTGAGGAAAAACAACAACAGCGTTATTTGCTGAGAAGAACAAAGACAATAGAAAATCTTGAAAAAACTTTTGACACCAACTGTTCTCCAGGAAGACAAAGACAACATTATTTCTTAAGAAAGACAATGAAAATATTCTTTCTTGAGGAAGACAGTGTAGACTGTTTTTATTGAGGACGATGAAAACTGTCTTTACTGAAGAAGACAATGAACATAACGTTGAGGAACACAAGGAAAAATGTATTTCTTTAGGAAGTTTCTGACACTGTCAGTCTTCTAGAAATACGACACTTCAAAAATTTCCCTCTTAGTACACCAGGATATTATTATATATACTTTTTATATATATTAATATATATATTATTATATATATTATATATATATATATATATTATATATATATACATATATGTATGTGTGTGTGTGTGTGTGTGTGTATCCCCATGTTGTTATGGTCCGCCTCAAGGTGAGTGAAAATCACATAACCCTCTAACCCACAGGACAACCAAATCCTACAAGAATCACGCACCCAGCAGAGCTAGGTGTTTTACCTTGATCCGAGGACATACGATGGTGTGGGTGCCTCAGAGCTAATTTCATACTACTCCCCGTTTGGTGTACTAGCCTCCACAAGCAGTATTTATCGTATTGTAACCACGAACGAGAGGTATTTAATCAAACGACAACACTGCGACTAGCCGGCGGATCGAACTCGCGTTGTTTTAGCCCGCCTTTTAGCCTGGCTAGTCACAGTGTTGTTATTGATTACAAACCACTCGTTCATGATTCAATAATATTTATACTGCTCGTAGAGGTTAGTACACCAAACGGGGAGTAGAATGAAATTAGTTCAGAGGCACCCATACCACCGTATGTTCTCGGATCAAGGTAAAACACCTAGCCCTGCTGGCTGCTTGGTTCTTGTAGGATTGCGTGGTCCTGTGGGTTAGAGTGTCATGTGATTTTTGCTCACCATTAGGAGGGCCAAAACAACATGGGATCGAATCCTCAGCTAGTCACAATGTTGTTATTGATTATTTTGACAAGTGCGATCATGATGTAATTTCGCATAAAATACGTGCTAAAGGAATAACTGACAAACTGGGAAGATGGATCTTCAACTTTCTAACCAATCGCACACAAAGTGTAGTAGTCAACAGAGTTAAATTGGAAGCTGCCATAGTGAAAAGTTCTGTTCCACAAGGCACAGTACTCGCCCCCATCCTGTTCCTCATCCTCATATCAGACATAGACAGAGATGCAACCCACAGCACTGTATCATCCTTTGCAGACGATACCAGGATCTGCATGAGGCTGCCATCTATTGAGGACGCGGTTAACCTCCAACAAGATATAAACTAAGATTTCCAGTGGGCAACAGAAAACAATATGATGTTCAGTGAAGACAAATTCCAACTACTCCGTTATGGAAAACTGGAGGAGATAATAACTAGAACAGAGTATACTACAAACTCTAATCATACAATAGACCGAAAAAGTAATGTGAGGGACCTGGGAGTGGTAATGTCTGAAGATATCACTTTCAAGGCTCACAACAGTGCCACGATCACAGCTGCTAAGAAAATGATAGGATGGATAATGAGACCATTCAAAACAAGAGATGCCAAGCCAGTGACGACCTTTTCAAATCACTTGTTCTCTCTAGGCTGGAATACTGCTGTACATTAACATTTCCCTCCAAAGCAGAGAATATTGCAGATCTAGAGAATGTACAGAGAACCTTTACTGCACACATAAGCGCAATCAAACACCTTAACTACTGGAAACGCTTGGAAGCACTTGACTTGTACTCACAGGAATGCAGGCGAAAAAGATATATTATAGTCTACACTTGGAAAATCCTAGAAGGAATGGTCCCGAATTTGCACACAGAAATCACTCCCTACGAAAGTAAAAGCCTGGGCAGGTGGTGCAAAATACCCCCAGTGAAAAGTAGGGGCGCCATAGGTACTCTAAGAGAAAATAACATAAGTTTCCAGGGCCCAAGACTGTTCAACAGCCTCCCACCATGCACAAGGGGAATTACCAGTAGACTCCTGACTGTCTTCAAGAGGCAGCTGAACAAATACAAGTCAGTGCCAGATCAGCCGGGTTGTGTCTTGTACACTGGATTACGTGCAGCCAGTAGTAACAACATGGTTGATCAGGCCCTGATCCACCGGGAGGCCTGGTCATGGACCGGGCCGCGGGGGCGTTGATCCCCGGAATACCCTCCAGGTAGACTCCAGGTAACCACACCTAAGTTTACAAGAATCCCGCAAATTGGTCAGAAGCCAGAGTCCTTGTTCCCCGTACCTCATGGATGCTAAGAAATATTTTAGAATAAACAATTATAAAACATGATAAACGTTCATTATACAGTAGTTTCATATTATTCAAACTCGATGTGTTTATAACTGAGGCCAGAGAGCATAAGCCAGATTCAACACCAAGGAATTAGAGCGTGTTTTCCCTTTCATTGTGTTAGACCAGCGTTTCCCTAAGAATTATGTGGGACAGATAGTCTATACACATCTCACTCTGGATAAACTATAGACATCTTCCTTTTGTTTTGAGTCAACCGTACACCCATTTTCTTAATATTAGGGGATATATAAGATATATCTATATTCAGAATTAAAAGTCTTTTATATCCTATCAAAATCTGACCGAATTTTTCATAATAATCATGTTAGTAATGTTATATTCGCTCTGCCATTATCAGT